AAAAAAAAAAAAAAAAAAAAGCTGATTTCTGTTTGATGATCCCCATGGGAGGCCTCACTCTCCCTGGGGAGTGGACAGGGGTCAGGTGGGAAGAGGGGTTGTTGGGGGGTATGCTAGGATGGGAGGGAGAGAGATCCAAGATTGGGATATAAAATAAGATTGTTTTTAATTTAAATTTAAAAATTCTGAAGTCTGGTCCTAAGGACAGGGAAATGTGACCCACCTCAGTCATCTTTTTCCCAGGTTGCAAGATGGTCACCAACCACAAAGTGGATTCCAAAATCAACACAGAAAACATGTCTGTCTTTACTGGGGGCCTGGGGTGCTCCTTCAGGTGTCCTGAAGGCAACTAGGTAATTAGAACTGGGAACTCACATACTTAGCTGGCCACCCCTGCTAGTTACAGTACATGGAAATAAATCTTGGCCCCATATGTGTTAGACCTCATGTGTACATTGTCAGGCTATCAATTGACCTCACTCAGTGACAGCATCAGACTCAGGCAACATTACTACTACCCTTGAATAAATCAAGTTTAGGATCTCAGCATTACTCATTTTGCTATGACTCAAGTGAACTGTGTGTGAGCAGATTACCTCAAAAGTTTCCTACCCTGAAAAGTGCAGAGACTGTTTGGAAGGAAGAGCCTTTTTTCTTAGCCACTTTCTTCTTCCCACTGTCAGCTGTAAGACACAAAGGGGGCCAGGCACTGTCAATAGATCTACTGAGTGTTTGGGGTGCTGTGGGAAAAGGGAGCTGATCATGTGAGGACAAAGCCCCAACCCCATGACTGGAGTCTGTTAGTTACCATCGGTTGTAGCAAAGGTGGCATAGAGGTGCGCTAGGAGTCTGTTGAAGGACTTCTGGTACAGCCCCACTACGGTTTCATTCAGGGGGTCCTTGTTCTTCTCCAGCCAGCCTGAGACACTGTAGTCCACGGTGCCCGCATAGTGAATGAGGGAGAAGTGGGCCTCGGCCTTGCCTTTGACCACCTTAGGCTTCTGGAAGTTGTTAGATTTTCCCAGGTGCTGGTCATACAGCTTGTTCTTGAAGGAGGTGTCTGTCGCCTTGGGGAACATGCACTCCTCTTCCAGTATGGAGAAGATGCCCATTGGCTGGATTGAAGATGAAGCAAAGGCATCTAAGTAAATAGGAGGAGCAGAGCACATGGGAAGGGGGCTCAGAGCAGACAGAGTAGGATACCTTCTCAATGAGCTCGATGCAGGCAGCCAGGTCCATCCCGAAGTCGATGAAGGTCCACTCGATGCCTTCCTTCTTGTACTCCTCCTGCTCCAGCACGAACATGTGGTGGTTGAAAAACTGTTGCAGTTTCTCGTTGGTGAAGTTGATGCACAGCTGCTCCAGGCTGTTATACTGACACCAAAATATAACGTTCACATGAAGAATTAGACCACTTTCAAAAATGAAACTCCGGCAGCATTCCTCACCTGCTCTTCTATGTTTTCGGGGCCAGTCATGATTCTTCAAGGCCTGGCTCTGACCACGTCTCTCATCTAGATGTTTCTCCTACCTCTGGGCACCCCTTGTGCACTGATTTTGTGTTTAAGCTTCTGCATGCTCGATGGGCTTGTGTTTCTCCTCAACTCGACTGTGAGCCTCCCAGAGCTGCCACCTGGTGAACACTGATTACTGGTTTGCTTCTAACTCGGGACCTGTCAGATAATTTTGCTTCTAACTCGGGACCTGTCAGATAATTCTATCAACTGGCACATGATTGACAGTAGCAAATTACCACTTCTCTGTCTCTCTGTTGGATTTTACCTATTTGGTGATATCCTTTAAAATTCCACTTGAAGGAAGTCTACAGCATTGTGTGTATCTGCATATGTGTGTGTGTGTGTGTGTGTGTGTGTTCACATGTACACAAATATGTATAGGTGCACACTCATGTGTGTGTACGAGCCTGCAGAGGCCAGAAGACAACTTTGGGTGTCATTCCCCAAGCAACATCCACCACCCACCTTTTTTTTTTTTAAGACAAGATCTCTTATTGGCCTGGAAATTTTGAGTAGGGTAAGTTGAATGACCAATGAGCCCCTTGTCTCCGTCTGCTTGTCTCCGTCTCTACTGCTGAGAACACACCACCATGCCCAGCTTTTTGTTTTAATGCAGGTACTCTAAGCATCACACTCAGGTCTCCCTACTTCTGAGGCACGTACTTTACTGACTAAACCATCTCCCCCACCTCTTCAACTGTCTGAAAACAATGCAAACTGCCATGCCATGCTATTTCCCCACACCCAACTCACTCACTCTTTCTACCTTTCCTATAAGAAAACCACCTTGGTGCCCCCACTTTAGGGTTATAAACACTCCCTCTATAAAGACATAAGAAAACATAAATAACACCAACCTCAAAAATTTCAAAACCTGCAATGTCCAAGACCCCGATGAAGTGTTGTCTTGGGAGCTTGGTGTCTAGTTGCTGGTTGATTCGAGTGACCATCCACAAGAAGAGCTTTTCATAAACAGACTTGGAGAGGGCGTTCACAGCGTGGTGAACCTGTGGGAGGAAAGGCCAGCAAACTAGTAAGAAGGCCGTGATCATCGGGCCTCAGGGCCCTCCTGGCCTCCAGGCAGCCCCTTACCTGGTCCACAGTTTGGCCCTTTGTCACATACTCATTCCCGACTTTGACTCTGGGAAAGCACAGGGCTTTGAGGAGGTCTGAAGAATTCAGGCCCATCAAGTAGGCTGTCTTGTCAGCCACTGGTTGGGAAGAAAAGACTATGCTCAGCAAGGTAGGAGGAAAGCCATCCAGATGCTTTGTCTTGGCATTTTCACAGCCCACGTCCCTTAAATATCTATGTGTGGCCAGTGATACTACATCTCTCAGAGAGTGTGGGAGACTTCGTGAAGCAGCAGGCTTTGGTTCCTGGCCATTTCACATTGCATCTGGAATAAGACCTTTCTAGGAATTTCTAGGAATTCATCAGAAATGGGCAGAGGGGCCAGAGAAATGGCTCAGGAGGTAAAGGCACAAGCCAACACGTCTGGCAACTGAGTTTGATCCCAGGGACCTGTATTGTGGAAGGAGAGAACTGACCCCTGAAAGCTGTGCACTGAGCTCCACACATGAGTTATATATAGGATACACCACACACACACACACACACAGAGAGAGAGAGAGAGAGAGAGAGAGAGAGAGAGAGAGAGAGAAAGAGAGAGGCTAAACTAATAAGATTTTTTAAGTTTGTGCTGATGGTTCCTTATGCTCATTGCAGGACCAGAAAAAGCTTATCCATTTTCCAGAAGGGAAGAAAGATTAATCCTTTTCAAAAGAGGCTCTGGGTGTCCCCAAGGGAATGACCCCCCTGCTCAGGGTCTGTAGCCTGCTGTGGTGACAATGTACCTTCAGTGCCATCTGGCTCAGCTTGCTCCTCTCGCTGCTTCTGCTTGAACTTCATGTTCCCATAATGCATCACAGCCCCTGTCAGTTTATAAAGTCCAGATTTCTCCTCTGGGGTGAAGCCCAAGATGTCAATGGCACTCTGCAATGGAAAGAACAGCTTGTCTATCCATTACCCTCACCATGGGAGGCTCTCCCACCCTTCTGTGGTCCTTCTTACATCTGTAGCCAACAGCTCCTCAGCATCGTCAATGCTGGCCACCAGAATTTCACCCTGGCTGATGAACGGGTAGTCATAGGGATTGGTCGTAATCAACAGCAACTCTGAAATGATGAATGTTTGAGGAATTCACACAAGTGTAATGAAAAATCCCCCAGGTGGAACTGTGCTCCTGAGCCCTGACCAGGGACTTCAACCACTGGGGTTAAAATAAAATGACAAAGTAGAACTCTTTAGAGTCTAGACGGTTTCACATTGCTCAGGTCGTGACAGAAAACATAATCCATGTGAAACTTTGCAATCCCCCATGCCGTGCAAGTGGAGAACCCTAGAAAACACATCTCTGTCTTTTTGCTTTGCAAAGGAAAGTTTCATGCCAACATAGGTTGGGGACAATGAGTAAGGAAAACCGGATGAGTGTGTGCCAGGACAGGAGACCAGGCTGGAGAAAGCATAAGCTGTTTCCGATAGCCTTTTCTAAAGTTGGCTGGAAACCAGAAACCTGTTTGCAGGCTGGTGACCAGAAGGCTTAGCTGGTACAGACATAAAGTAAAGAAGGTAGTGAACACAGAAGCCTCTATCAGCCTCTAGAGGCCTAATGGACCCTACCTAACTGGACTGGTACCTGATTTACGCTGGAAGGTGGTTCCTTGTTGAAACTCAAGAGGGCGCTCAAGGACCATTAAGCGTTTAACTATTCAAAGCATACCACAGAACCAACAATGATTTTGCCCTTTTACAGCACGTCTGATCTGATCGATCAGGTTGGTAAGATGGTCTCAGCAGGTAAAGTGCTTGCCGTGTAAGAATAAAGGCTGGGGCTCGAATTCCCCTAAAACTCATATGAAAGCTAGGTGGGTGTTGGGGTCTGCCTGTAATCCCAGCACCTAAGAGGCAGAGACAGGGTTTCCTAGTTAGAGTAGCTCTTAGTGAGGGACCTTATCTTAATATTGAGTTTCAGAAAAACTGAGGAAGACACCCAGAGTTAGCCTCAGGCCTCCATATGCACAAATGTGCATGTACACCTGCAGACATGCATGTGCCTCTACATACATACTCACCTGAATACTATGTACTTTTGAAAAATGACACAGTTCCTGCCTAAAGAGCCATATATCCTACGGCTGGTATAAATCTCCATTGGCTGTAGAGTCACCTATAGGTGCAACTAACTCTCATGGGTCTAATGAGCCAAAAGCCCAAAGCCAACTTCCTCCTCCCCTCCATGCCCACCCACCACTCCCACCCCTCCCCACCCCACTCCTACCCCATGACCTCACCACACAGCTCAGGCTTCTTGTTGGAAAGAATCTGGTAGAAGATGTGGTAGCTTCTCTCCGCCTTCAGCTGGAAGGTGACTCTGGATTTTTCCAGCAGATCTGGAATAAGAAGCACAGGTCTGTGGTCCACGCTGCTCTCCGTGGCTGCGAGAGCTCACTTGTCCCGCTGAGTGTATACTTACAAGTTTCAATGTCTGCGGATGCCAGCTTCCCAGTGGTGCCAAAATGGATGCGGATGAATTTGCCCTGTGGGGAGGGGAGGAGACCAGACCCTTCCATGTCCGGATCCTCTAGATGCCTGAGCACTGCCCAGAGGAGCCTCCCTCCCGGTAGTCTGAACTGAAATGTGTCTTCCCCTCCTTCCATATGGTGTGTCTGCCTCCTCCTGCACTCCCCATATCTCACTAATGAAATGACCATCCTGCTTACAGACTCCTTCCTATTGTGCTTAGGGAATACCCTTGTTAATGACAGATCTCTTCTCCCTCTCTGTCTACCCACTTGCCACATGGGTCCTCTGTAGGAGTGTCCTACGCACCGTTCCCATGTCAGGGAACATGTAGCCACTCTTCCCCTCATCCCCTTCCTACCCAGCTGATGCGTCCAACCCCCTGAAAGCCCTTACCAGACATCCCTGTCTGCCAGGGATCTGATCCCCAGTTTCTCAGTTACAGCATCGAGTTTTTAAACCTCACATACACGTGGCCTGTGTATTTGCTTCTTTCACTGTCTCTTCCCAAGCTCTGTTAGTTCCCCGAGCTCAGGCACCCTGGCTGTCCTGCAGGCTGAAGACCCCACCATACTCAAGGGCAGACTCACAAAGCGGGAGGAGTTGTCGTTCCTCACGGTCTTGGCGTTGCCAAAGGCCTCCAGCAGGGGGTTGGCGCTGATAATTTGATCTTCCAGGGTCCCCTAAGCAAGAAAACCAGAGAGGAAGGGAACATGTGTTTGTAAGTCACAAAATGAAGATTTAAAACAATAATCATCACCTGTTCTGTTTTTCCTGCCTGCCCGGCTTCCTGGCGGCTCCAGGGATGCTAGTCTTTCCCTCTGATTTGATAACTGAAAGATCAAACAAATCAGCAGCAGCGTGACCTCCCCGAAACACTTCTGTGTCTCTCTTGAACTTGTCACGGCTGGATCTCTTGAGTGGACATGCTTTCACTTGATTCTCCAGTAAGTTAGATTGTTTGGCTCACACCCTTGCAGTACACTGAGTCGGGGGATATGTATCCCTCACAGTGCTCTTGAGCTGCTACCTATTAGGCCACCCTGAAAGAACAAGCTCTCTGACTTGCCCCCAGATCCACTCTCTTCTAAAGTATTGGAATCTCATCTGCTAAGAAATCACAGGATCTGGACCTGTGGTCAACTACACGCTGTCCCCCACACTCTTGCACCCTAGCCCACTCTCTTTTCCTTGCTCCCTTCCCCCACCTTCATTTTGGAGTCCTTTTTCTTGGCAAGGTCACCAGTGGCTGCAATTGTTGCAAAGTACTGGATGACCCGCTTGGTGTTCACAGTCTTCCCGGCCCCGGATTCTCCGCTATTTAGAAGGACAGAAAGGCAAAGAAATTAGTCCTGTTCATAAACCAGCACCCTAAGATGTCACCTAGTGTGGAAGAGGACCTGGACTACTGCCTTGATCCCATACTTGATCCCAGTATGGATAACTCCAGTTTTGTGAGCCTTTTACCCATCCCCAACATGTCTTTTCACCATGGGCTTTGTTCCAAGCTCTGTCTCATGAACAGAGCTGAGGGAATGGCATCCTTGGCATCAGCTGCCAAGCCTCTCTAAGCAGGGATACTTACGTGATCAGGATGGACTGGTTTTCACGATCTGTCAAAGGGAAAGAAAACAGAGCTGATGGCTATGTCCAAAGAGGTGTGTCCATCACCCAAGCTGCAGCTGCTCCGTTCCTTTTCCCTTCATTTATTTCCTTATTTGCTTTTTGTTTGTCAGCTTAGTCATAAGTGGGGATTTAAAGAGCTCCTGTCCTGATAATGAGACTCAAAGGCATTAAGCCCTGATGAAAACTGAGGCCTCCCATCCTCTGAGGTTGAGCGATCTAAGATGGTCAGTCTTTGTTTCTGATCCCTAGGAGTACTCATTTCCTATGTCTAACCAACACCCATGCTACACGCAGATTCCTCACCCTGGCCCCAAGGACCTAACTCCTCTTTTCCTCTTTGTCCCTCCTGCCCTAAAGCCACAAACCAGAATGGCTCTGAGCCCATCTAGTTCCCACTCCCCGTCCCCATATTTTCTCCTGAAAACACACCTGTCAGCATGAACTGGTAGGCATTGTCAGAGATGGAGAAGATGTGGGGCGGGGCCTCCTGGCGCTTTTTGCCTCGGTAGCCATCCACCACCTCAGGGTTGTATACCGGCAACCACTTGTAGGGGTTGACGGTGACACAGAAGAGGCCTGAATAGGTCTGTGGGAGGAAAAAAATACATATACGCATACATACATGTATATTATATACATATGCACTAATATACATATTAGTATATATATACATATACATATATATATACATATACATATATATATATATATGTCTTTACTATTATCCCAGGCTTCTTTTGATAACTCATAAAGAAGAGATGATTTCTACTGATGGGTGAAACAACTGAAATTCAAAGAGGAAAGTAGCCAGTCCTCCCACAGCTAGTACCATGCTGACTCCACCATGACCTCAGCTTTCTTGTTCTTCAGGCTCCTCCTCCCTGACTTCCCTCCTCCCCACCATCCTTCCTTCAGCTCCTGCCCCTTCTATCCCATCCATATCTTGCTTTTTTCCCCATCTTTTTTTGTCATTCTTTTCCCTACTCTATCTCCTCTCTTTTGGTCAAAGAGGACTCCTTCAAAGGCGTCCCTCCCCCACCCTCACCCTTTATCTGATCCCCCAGGAAAGCCTGTTGGCAAGTAGCCACTGACATAGATCATCCAGGACGTGTAGCGGTCCTTGAGGTTGTACAGTACGGCAGGCTCATTCAGGTGAGTGAGCATGGCCATGTCCTCGATCTTGTCGAACTTGGGAGGGTTCATGGCGTACACGTCCTCTGGTTTAACCACCAGGGTCTGAAACGGAAGAGTCATGAGGTTTGTCTAACGTTCCCCAGCCATTGGACAGCTCTGTGTGTGTCTGGCACCCTGGGAGAGACTGCAACCCCCAGTGACAGTGAGGGAAACCAAGGTTATCATGACACATGGTGGTGGTACAGCATGGGTTCTGTTCCCGCCACTCGGGGCTTTTGATTTTCTCTATCTGATGAGCCTGAGATTGGGGGGATAGTGAGAGAAGTGATGAGAGAGGACTTCTGGGGACTAAGCGGGAGCCTGTGACACAGAATAGGGTCCAAAGGAAGCTGTTTGGCTGTGGCGTTGGCTGTCCCTGTAGTTCTCCTACCTGCTCAGAGATAATTGCATGTCTGCAGCAGGCCTGACCAGGGACAACAGAAAATGGGAGGAGAGACACGGTGTCCCTGGGCTGGTGCCCACATGGCCTGCCAACTTCCCTGCCCTGTAGAAGCAGTGTCCAGGTTTGAGACCCCATCCTTCTTCCTTCACCACCTTCCCTGCTCTTGGGGAAAGAGCTGCCAGCCCATCCTTCCCTTTCTGCAGCATCCCTACATCTCTGCTCTGAGACGGATACTTTCACCACCAAGCCCCTGCCCTCCTTTCTCTTGGGAGTGACTCTGAAAATAGCTAGCCCCTGAGCAGTGTGAGCCAGAAAGCTGTCTTTTTCCCTGTCTCCCTTAAGCCACCCTGGACCATGGGCCCTCTTGTGCCCTCTCAGGCCTGTTCTCCCTAGACCCTGTGATAATCC